GGAGGATAGAAAACAGAAGACTTCTAATAAATATTTTACTACCTATCTCAGCCTCCCCTAGCCTCTTTTTGATTCCAGGGCACGAAACTGGAATTATATATGCAGAAACGCTGTCTCAAGGCTTCTGTGAATACGAAGGTTGTTAAAAACGATAATGAGGGATGATGGGTTACTTGGAAGTCCATGGGTCAGTTCAGAAAGGAAGTCAGATCTACTAGGCTATTACACATCAGTAATTATGTGTAAAGTCCCTCTTAGAAAAAAAATTAGTTCATATCAAGTAGAGACAATTTAGAATATAAATAATAAACTTACTCTTTGGAGATTTGTATTAATAAGGTGTTAAGGCCTTGGTAAATTAAAAAAAAAAACATGGTGAGGGGGGTTACATGACTATCAGAATTTTTAGGACTTGTTTTCACATGGAGTCAATTACATACTGAATACAAAGAATAGCTACCCTTTCACTGAGTGTTTACATGGTGCCAGGACTTTAACAAATTTATTTAACGAACACTTAAATAGCATTAATTATGTACCAGGCACTGTTCTAAGTATTTTGCAAATATTAACTAGTAAGTGCTGTGAGATATGAACTTCTACCATTCCCTCTTCAGAGATAAGGAAACTGAGGACAGAGATGTTAGGTAACGTGTCCAAGGTCACCCATCCAGTAAGTGGCAGAACCACGATTCAAAGCCAAGTAGTCTGGTTCTAGAGACTATACTCTTACCCGCTGGCCTCCTGTCTCTAACATTATCACAAGTCCCTGTGATACTCCTGAGAGACAGGTGAATCTGTTTCATACATATGGAAACATAGGCTCAGTGAGCGTAAATAGTTAGCCCAAGGTCACACAGCCGCTACGTGGCACAGCCAGAGTTCCCACCAACACGGTCTGCTATCACGCTCCACGGTCTTTACGTAGAAGCCTTGTTTGAATGGTGATATTTTCTGAAAACTTCCTCCAACTAGTTCATACATTTTTATCTTTAAGTATTTATTACAAACATTTCAGATTAGGAAAGGTGAAGAACAAAACTAAATGTCCTTCATCTATTTATTCTCAAGCTGATGCCTGAATGGTCATAGCCAAAATAGCTAGGGGGAAGTTTTACCATAACCACTACAACGAACGAAAGCCAATATTTCTTTGCATTCTGCCTGGTATTTTGTGAAGGCCAGAGGTCTCATAATGACGCAATGAACACACGGGTATGGACGGATCCACGGCTCATTAGTATCTGAAGTGTTTATCCACTGGAGGAGCATAAATTAGAAAATGATTTCAAAGCCATGTTTCTGTACTTACGAAAATAAACCACATTTGATACTTCTACCCCATTTTCTGTCTTATGAACTGAGACAAATACTGTAATTTACACCTAGTTTTGGTTTGTACTTTCTCTTCAATTTCAACGTACAAGATGGCTAACATAGTTCAGTTATTCAGCCCATTTAGCAATTAATGAGAAATTCATAAGGAGAATAAGCAAAGTATAATTTGAGGAAATAATTGTGCATTTTATTATGAGTTCTTGCAGTTTTTCCATGGAGTCCCATCTTTCTTACATGTGTTGGAATTCTTTAAAATTCAAGAAGAATCCTCACAAATCACAAGATGATGTTTTTAAAGGAAAGCAAGACTATAAAAAAGTTATAAAATCTATGGATTAAAAATAAATATCCTGGAGAAATTCTTTGAAAAATGGAAACACATATAAACTTCTGGTGGCATGTGAGATTCTCCATGATGTAGCTCTGCCTACCTGTCCAGGCTCTTTCCCTGTCATTTGTCACAGGTGCTTATGTCCCACTAGCTCTGGTCCACAGCTTTCCTACACAATCTGAGTTCTCTGGCCTGCCTGCCTTTGCATATGCTGATCTACCGCTTGGAGCCCTCATCTGTACCTCTCAGCCCCTTTGCTTTTCTCCCCCCTGTCCCACCACAAATGCCTTCTTCTTAATCAAGTCTTAGCTAATCATTTCCCTCGCTCTTTCAGGAAGAATTAGTCTTTCTCCTAGCCTCAACGCCTTTATAATTATCTTCTTGTGTTATATTTAGTTAAAGCTCTGGTTTTGGGTTAACTCCTCCAGGCGACAGCAGAGTTGAACTTTTTAGCATTGTTATCATTTTTGTCTTGAAATACTTCAATCCCCAGGACTTTGCCTAGGAGCACAGTAGATGCTTAATAAACTTTTACTAAAATTTGGGGTAAACGGTGGTGAGGATGACAGAAAAATGTGGACAAGAGGATATTTGAGTGCTAAGATGTACTGTGTGTGTGTGTGCGCGCGCGTGCGCAATGCGTGTCTCCACTTGTGAGGTATGGAATCAATGACACTAAATGCATCAATACTGAATTATAAAACCTAAAAATCAGTTAGTGAGTAACCCTTGAGGAAAAACTTACCAATAATGCTTGGAAACTCAGAATCTGTGCTTCCTGAAGTCAAAGAGACCTCGCTGTGAATACCACTTAACGACATTAGAAATACTGAGTTTACCTACCTATATTATACGCCAAAATTACAGGAGACATATTATAGCCAGGCAAAAATTGGTTATAACCTTAAAGGAATATTCTGTATATTTTGTTTGCAAGTTTCCTTGGTGTTCTACTTTGAACATTTTCTACATTTTCTTTTGAGATGTTAGTGACAGAACACTCTGTCATTTCCACAGCATATGACTCACACCGCTAACCTTTCTCTGCCTAAAAAGACTCCCAGAACGCCTTGGAAGTATGCTTTTGTGAGTTTTTTGTTTTAGTGATAAAGGAATATGAAGGTGAAGCTCTTAACTCTTTCTTTCTACAGAGTTAAGGACTTCAAAAAACATAAGCCTTCTCTGAAGGGGACAAATTGAGGGCAGCAGATGTTTTCGAGAAGTAAATGAAAAGTCCCAGGACAGGGCACTTCTGAAGACTGGCGAACGGGAGTGAGATGAATGAGACCAAAGGAAAGGCCAAAAGAAGAGGAGAAAAACCACAACACACAAATGGGAGGAGTGAACACACATAAGAAACTATGGAAACACCAATACTGTGCACTTTCAAAACAGAAAAGACAAATCAATACAAATCTTTATATATATAATGGGAATGAAACTGATTAACTTAAAAAACTCTTTAATTCAGGCAATCCCATTAGGAAAAAAAAGCCATAGCCTGCAGAATGGAAAATCCATTACCTCCCTAAACCATATGTAACACTGGCATTTAAAATTAATTGTTAAAATTAAAGTAAAAGTTAAAGTAAGTAAAAATTAATTATTTACTTTCCCTCAAATGCCCAAGGCAAAAACTAATGGGAAATGGCATAGAAATAAACCAGTTACTGGGGCGCCTGGGTGGTTCAGTGGGTTAAAGCCTCTGCCTTTGGCTCAGGTCATGATCCCGGGGTCCTGGGATCGAGCCCCGCATCGGGCTCTCTGCTCAGTGGGGCGCCTGCATCCCCCCCGCCCCTGCCTGCCTCTCCACCTACCTGTGATCTCTGTCTGTTAAATAAATAAATAAAAAATCTTAAAAAAAAAACAGTTACGTGCACAAATCAGAGGCTTTTAGCTTCTATTTTATACCACAATGCAACAAACCAAGGCTGTTGCTTTGTCTCTAAGCTTAGAAGTCCAATGAGTATCCAGCCTAGCTAGTCAGCAAGTAATTTCTCAGTCAGCTCCTCTCACCTGGGTGTCCCTCTGTTCCTCTTGAATAATCCTAGAACAAAACACCAGCACTTGCAAACTTTGGTAGGCTTTTGCTTCAAGCCCCTTATCTTCTTCCATACCCTAACCGAAGTAAGTCTCCCTCCCACGCCTACAGCCTCTGTTGCTGCTACTCTAGCCCAGACCCACATCTTCATAATTGGACTCTGCCTTAGATCCCTTATTAATGTTCTTGTCTCAGTCTTACCCACACCTCCTACCCATCTTCACTCTGCTGCCAGAAAGGAACCTTCTTCTAACATGAAATCTAATCAGAGTAGCCCAGGTTCACCTTCACGCCTACACCACCCTACAATTTTCAGTAGGTTGCACTCCTGATTACCAACAGAATAAACTCTGAAATCTTTTTCATGGCGTTCAAGACTCTTCATATTCTGCTTTTTGCCTACCTGTGCCTCCTGTGTCGATTCCTTGTGCCTACAGATCTGACATTCCAGCAATGTTGAGCCATAGCTCCCTACCACACCAGTCTCAATCTCCTTCCCTTCCATTGGTGGTATTTACACAGTTTGCCTGTGTGTAATATCCCACTTCCGTTTCTCTTCCTGGCAAGCTTCTAAGTCATCCCCCAAGCCCAAGTTCGAATAGTCCCTTTCCTGTGAGGCCTCCCTGACTTCGCAGGGGGACTGCTGTTCCTTCACCTAGATTCCTACTGCAGTTCGTATATACATTTTTGGGCAACATATTGTATTTTAATTATTTTTATCTCCCCACTAGACTTTTAGAATCAGAGGATTTGTATCCCCTGTATACCTAGCATAGCACAGTACCTGACACATAAATACTGATTGAATGTTTGACCATATGAATAAATAAACTTGGACTATAAAATATAAAACCTCTTATAATTGTGAAAACTGTAGGAGAAAAACTAGCAAAATAATCTCTACCCTTAACCTCCCACGTGTAACTCAAAACCTTATTATACCAGAGTGAGGCATTCATCTTCATTACACTTTTATCGGCTGTGCCCTCTCAGCCGTGATCACCCACAACCAGGACAGCAGGGAGAGCACTAGCGACCTGGGCTGCTCCTCTGGTCTGGCTACCAGTCCCCTACCTCACGCACACAAGCAGACAAATGGACCTCTTCCAGCAGAGCACAAGACCCTGGCCACAAATCAGACCCCAGTCCTGCCACCATGTACATTAACAATGAACCCGTTTCTCTTACTTGTCATTACACGTAGAACTGTGAGTAAAACACACTTTAAGAAAGCCCCATGCACTGGTAGAAATGTTCCTGCCACGTTAGAGCCAGCTGCGTCCCCCCTACCTGCTAGCTTGATGTTCATGTTGCTATCCAGCAGGAGATTTTCAGCCTTGAGATCACGGTGCACGATTTTCCGGCCATGACAATAATCAACAGCGGACAGGATTTGCCAAAATTTGCGCCTGGCCTCAGACTCATTTAACCGGCCATGATTAGCAAGGTAGTCTGTTAGGAAAAAAAAAGAGAGAGAGAGAGAATTTAGGATTATTTATCAAAACCAACCAGCCAACCAACAAAAAATTCCCACTATTAGTAGGCAGAACTTTTTCTCCTCAAAAATCTACCTATTTATTGATTTTATTATAATTCCAGTGTAGTTTATACCCAGTGCTATATTAGTTTCAAGTGTACAACACAGTGATTCAACAATTCCATATATTACATAGTGCTCATCAAGGTAAGTGTACTCTTAGTCCCCTTCACCTATTCAAAAGCTTTTTAAATGAACAGGAGTGAGTATTCAAGTAACATGCCGTTCTCCAGGTTCCCTGCCTTGAGAAAAGTAATTCCAATCACATTTCACGGGAGTCCAAATAAATGGAGAGAGCCCAAGACCAGACAACGGCAAGTGGCATGACAGTCACAGTATAATTCACAATGCTTTTTTATGCCTAGGCACGTCCTCTGTTCTGTTTACAAGTTTATTGGATATTTTTCCTAACCACATTTAAAATTTACATTAAAAAAAAAAAAAGAAAGAAACCCATGAATCCATTTCCTACCATCCCATCCGACAAAGGCTATCTTTCTTGTAAGCGATCGCTTGCCACAGTTATCAGCAGCCACCTGGAACGTAACAGTGGTCCCTGGAAGCAGCTTAAATAATTCACACCCTGCTTTGTTTGGTGGAGCACTTCTGACCTACCCAAGACTTGTTCTCTAAATCAAACACGATAGCCAGGTTCTCTAAGCAAATACACTTCACAAGATATACTAGCTATCTTTGTACAATATTATAATCCCTATCAAAGCAGTTTACCTGAAAATTAATTCTGCGTATGTTTACATGAACTCAATAAAACGAAACATTATAGCTCATTCAAGTTTTGCCTGAACATCTAAAAGGCCTTTGAAATGATCTTTTGAGGGGAAAGGGTCAGCAGAAATCTTGACGGGTTTTTCTAAAATTTAAAATTGTTTTCCCAACTTAGGAACTGCATGGGTAAATCAATATTCATTCATCTCCATATGTTTTCTGCTCTAGGCTATGTGATTTACTGATACTGAGATTCCATGGCTTTGGCTCAGGACATCCTCAATATTTATTATAAAATTAACATGTGTAGAGCATTTTACACTTTATTTTTTTAAAAAGATTTTGTTTATTTATTTGAGAGAGGGAGAGAGAAAGAGCATAAGAGGAAAGAGGTCAGCAGGAGAAGCAGACTCCCTGCCAGAGCAGGGAGCCCAATATGGGACTCGATCCTGGGACTCCAGGATCATGAACTGCACTGAAGGCAGTCGCTTAACCAACTGAGTCACCCAGGCCCCCCACAGCATTTTACACTTTATAAAGCATGTTTATATCACTGTATCCCCCTTAATCATCCTAAAACCCCTCTACGATAACTATAATTTTAATTTGCATTTTATAAATGAGGGCGCTGAAGATCAGAGGGATAACAGAATTGGGCTGAATTCAGACAACTGCTAAGTGAATGGCTGATCTGAAATGTTTGTTATTTTTATTTTAATTAATTAATTTTTTAAAAAAGATTCTATTTATTTACATGGCAGACAGAGATCGCAAGCAGGCAGAGAGGCAGGCAGAGAGCCTGATGTGGGGCTCGATCCCAGGACTCTGGGACCGTGACCTGGGCTGAAGGCAGAGGCTTTAACCCACTGAGCCACACAAGTGCCCTGAATGTTTGCTTTTAAAAAACTGTATCATGCTTCACTAGACTCCCACTGAAATCCTAACTATCCTTTCAATGAAATCCTAAATATCCTTTCAATGCCACCTTGCCCTTGAACAGTTCCTGGTCACTTGAAGTAGAACTAATCTCCAACCTGAACTCCTTATCATGACAGCACATTGGCTCCTGCTGTAGTTCCCTGCACGTATCTCAATGATATCTCAAAGTGTGTACGTGTTTGGGTTTGTATACACACACATACACACACAGCGTTGACTCTAACACACTGTGTGTTAGAAAATAAGATACCTCCACTTAAGCTTTCTGAAGGTCGGGGCCATATCATTTTCTCAGGTCCTCCCCACACTTTTTTAGGGCTATATACAGAACAGCAGAGGCACAGTTTTTATTAACTACTTAGCTGACTGATCATGGATGGTATCATCAACCATTATAAAATGTAGAATATTACTACTATACATGTTAGAGGCTTTAAATGTAAGCAGACAGACCTGAATGTGTCTAGGACCATAAAAACCTAGAAGTGAGCACAGACAGTAATTTCTCTGACATCAGCTATAGGGGAAAAAAAAAAAAGCCAGACAGACCTATACATACAGAGAACAGACTGACGGTTGCCAGAGGGGATGAGGTGTGCGGCTGGGCAGAATGGGTGAAGGGGAGAGGGAGATACAAGCCAAAATGAGTAAGTCACAGGAATCAAGGTTAGAGCACGAGGAATATAGTCAATGACACTATGGTGATGTAATGGGACAGACAGTAGCTACAATTGTGGAGAACATAGCATAAGGTATAAACTCGTCAAATCACTAAGTTGTACACCTGAAACTAACATAACATTGTGCGTCAACTATACTGAAATTAAAAAAAAAATGTAAACAGACATTCTGTATAATGTTTCTTCATCTGGTATTAACATAAATGTAGATGATCAGCTCCCACATCTTCCTTTTGCCTCTCCAGAGCATACATAATAGACATTCAGAATTTAACAGGGAAAAAAAATTCATTTAAGAATATATAGAATTTTCAGTCAAAATGTCCAAACAGTCATCAGAGTGACTACGTCTAAGTTAACTACCACATAAACGATGTGTCACCTGTTCGTAAGAGTAAACCAGAGCCTCAATTCTGTACTGGATGAACAGGGAAATCTCAACAAAGGGTTGGCCCTGTGGGCAAATACTGAGGGAAATGCAGCGTGTTTTCAGGATTATCTTTCGGCTAATTTGCATTATCTTTGCAGAAACTCCCCACCAAGTGCCACTTACGCTGTAGCTCTAAGGACACAATTTTCTCATAGACAAATAAATGACTTTTCCAGAGAGACAAAATTTCTTTCTGCTGAAAATGCTGAGTCAGGGACACCTGGGTGGCTCAGTGAGTTAAGCATTTGCCTTCAGCTCAGGTCACACATGATCCCAGAACCCTGGGATCAAGTCCAGCATTGGGCTCTTTGCTCAGTGGGAAGCCTGCTTCCCCCCGGCCTGCTGCTTGCCCTGCTTGTGCTCTTCCTCTCTCTGCAAATAAATAAATAAAAACTTTCTTTAAAAAAAAAAAAAAAAAGGAAAAAAATGCTGAGTCAATGTGAACTAATGTGAAAAATTTTTGTGATTCTAGCAACACAGAGAAACCTAACGGATCCAACGCGAACAAATATAAGTATATGGGGGAACAACAACAAACCGTCACCTACAAAATGCGTCCTAGGAAGCACGAGAGAATCTAGAGTACAGACTGGTTTTGGAAGTGATCCGTCCCAATCAGTATCACCCTAGCCAAGGAGGAAGGAAAGTTCTGAAGCCTGGCAGGAAAGGTGCTGTCTGGGGCGGGGAGAGGGGGCGGCGGGAAAGGAGTGCTATGCCTGGACCTAAAATTACCACGTAAAGCCAGAATTGCGTAACAATAAACATGTAACACACTGTGAGAAGCATGACAACATCCATGTTTGAAATCATACAGAATGAGGAAGGTTCACTTGGGAGTGTTTAAAAAGGTTGGTATGTTCACTCCCAAGTGAACCTTCCTCATTCTGTATGATTTCTGCAGTGTGGGCAGCCCTGAAAACTGTACCATCTGCTGTGAAATCAGCAACAGAAGTAACTGAGGTAAAAACCTGCGCTGAAAGAACACGGGATTAGGTACACTTCCTCATGCCCTGGGAGCGGTGCTGTTCTCCGTCCAAGCTCAAGTTATTATTACACAAGGTCCTCAAGGTAACATGCAAAATGCACACCATGTTGTGCATGACAAACTTTATGCTTACAGAACAAGCGAGCGTAACAGCAATTCTCCATACTAATTGCCTGTATGCGTATTTTTGATGGGTACAATTAAAAAATTGCTTTTTCCTATGTTTACATTTGTTCTGATACGTAAAATGTAATTTTGTTGACTTTAATAACAAAACTTTTAAGGTTTTATTTTGTACGTCCTTTCCTCCCATTTTGCTTTTACGGTAATTGATTCTTTTGTATTTTATCAAAATCACGGTCTATATCAAACAATTAAAGAAGTTGGTCTTTCAATATTGATAACTTGAGAAACACTGGTATAGCTAAGTAAATAGGCAATTACAATATACCACAACAAAGGCTAGCACAGGAATAAATACAACCTAATAAAAATTTCTGTAGGTATCTTTTAAAATTTTCTATTTTTATTATGAAAATTTCAAACATACATGAGAGTAGAAAAAACCGTGTAATGAATCCCCCAGATTTAAGAGTTGTCAACATATTGCCATACTTGGTTCATCTACTTTTTTTTTTCTGTAGTAACCTAAAGCAAATGTTGGCATCATTTTGTTTCACCCTAAATACTCTTCTATGTATCTTTAAAAAAATTTTTTTTCCTTACATAACCATAATACCATCACCACACCTAACAAAATTAACAATTCTTTAATACTATCTAATTCACTGTCTGAATTCAAGTCTCCTTAGTTGGCTTACTGGAATCAGGACCCAAACAAGATGCACTTTTTTTTTTCCCTCAAGAGAGAGAGCTGGGGAGGGGCAGAGGGAAAGGGAGAGAGAAAATCTTAGGCAGGCTCCATGACCAGCAAGGAGACTGACATGGGCCTCAATCTCACAACCTTGAGACGAGGACCTGAGCTGAAACCAAGAAGTTTTGGACATTTAACAGACTGAGCCACCCAGGAGCCCCAAGACGTACTTTCTGTATTTGCTTATTTTGTCTTTGGAATCCTTTTTTCCCTGGAACAGTTTCCCTCCCTCCCCTTTTCCTATGCTACTGACTTGCTGAAGAAACTAGTCAGTCATCTTA